AAGTCAAAGTGAATTAATTATTTATTCAATACATTGACTTACAATTATATGGACGTCGGGTCCGCGCTAAAAAGCCGCAAAGAAGAAAAGAATCATCAAAATCGATTTGCAAATTTTATATAATAATATACATATATAAATAAGCATAAAAACACAGTCGAAGTCGAGAACCTCCTCTTTTTTAAGTCGGTTAAAAATAAGGTCGCGTGGACACGCTAAGAAATTCGACATGTCTGCTACAGAAAAGATGAGAATGGTATTGTACACGAGAAAATGACAAGATACGAATACTTTCGGATAGACGTGTGTAGGGTAAAATGTGTCAGTGCATTATGAGTCTTGCAGGTACAGCTGTGGTTTTAGTTACCGACGGTGGTTAGAAATATGTTGTTTTATTATGTTGACACTAAGCAACACCCGCATAAATGTTCGTTTACCGACAATGCACCTCCCCCCTCCCCTCATAATAGCGGCAGAGAGCGAGAAAGTCGAGGGTAGACAATATTTTTTCTAGTCCGGCAGTATACACAGTTCATGTGTAGAAACGACACGAATTCTTGCATAGACCCCATTGACTTACAATTATATGGACGTCGGGTCCGCGCTAAAAAGTGTCCGAACTTATAGGGCGTTAAAATCGTATACAGAGCGTCATTCACGCTTTAGTCTTCGTTTGTTCGACTGACAGCGAAGCAAGCAAAATTAGACAGTACTGCGATGACATTACAATTTAAATTTTTCATATTCCTTGAAATGTCACTACGTTTAAACAGGTTGACTTGGGACATTTTTTTCGTGGTTTTTGTATGAGACCCGTCGTCCATTTATTTGTAAGTCAATGATTCCATAGGTAACATTTTTACACTTGAAAACGTCATTTTTTAAGCTACCGCTCGTTCACTACGCTGACCTCCGAAGAACGAGCAAGAAATGCTATTTTCAAATAAACTTCAATGCTATGAATACACTTTGAATTATAATTGCGTGGAATGTAGACACTTGCTGTCTTTCCTTAGTTCCTTATCTAAAACATACTCTTCAATTTTGTAATATGACTTTTCAATTAAAATACTTTTAATGTAAGTTTTAAACTTAGGAAATATATTCTCTAGAATCTTTTTGTAAAAACGTATACAGTTCCCCATAAAATATTCGTTTACCTTGGTTAAACGCAATCGTGGTACCATGAGTTTGGACTTAGTTCTAAGGTTAATATTATAGATATATTCTTTCTTAATGAAATTATATATACCAATGATTTTTTTTTGTATATCAAACTGTAATAAATAAGAACACGTATGCTATACGATATACATTTTTTAAATGGCTATAATTTCGCTTGTAAAAAAATACATTCTGAAATAGAATAGCGTACACTCTTAAGTAATGTGGTAAGTAATTGTATAGATATACTTATCTATTTTAATCTATGGAATGTATTTTTTCTCCGGATTACCCTGACATTTGTGAACTGAATAAATAAAAAAAAAATAATTGTGAACTGATTTCGATGACTAGGAAAGGGGACACCTCAGTAGTGCTAATTTGAAGAAAGCATTCCTTGTTATGGCATTCTTTGGGGGACGCCTATGTTCAGCAGTGGACGTTTTTTGGCTGAAATGGAGATGAATAAAATTAAAAAAAAAGAATTTATTTAATTTCTTTCAATGAAACTTGGCACGTTATAGTGACTTATTTGGGATTGCTAACGTGGCCCGTCCAATCCCTTTGGGCTTGGCTGTTTTGCTTCCCGCATCAGTAATGTCAGTCCTTAGAATAATAACGCATAGAAACCTAGCCCGCACACGCTATGTGAGGCAAATTGAAGCGCTCCCAAAGGGCCTACACGAGCGGGCGGGCTGTCAGTGCTCAAGGTCAACTTGCATCGCGAACAGCTCCAGAATTTTAGCTAAAAATGACGAAATGTGCGGTAAATGAGTGTAAAAGTACGTCAGACAAACATAAAATAGAAACTAACATAACATTCCACAAGGAAGTAACGCGTTTCAACTTGTATTTTTATATAAATATTCACTAAAACCGAAAATTAACCTACTACTAAAACTAGCCTACATGAATTTGATTTTTGCCTCACTTGTGACAGTTCGTTTGATATGAGGCTATCATTCTATGCGTTATTATTCTAAGTGTCAGTCATTGAAAGCAGCATTGTGTTGTGCACTCGGTCAGTGCGTTTATAGTTTTAATGCTGCGTTTCTGGCAGTCCTTGAGTTTAGACTCCTGCGTTTTGATTCAAAACGGAATCGAACCGATCGGGTAGTCTCGAAATCCGAGCGAGAAGATGAACCTGATTCCTACTATATCTTTCTAATTTGTGAGTTAAATGAACTGTCAGAAGTTTCCGATCGGGCAGTTGTGAATCGCAATTATGCGCCTCGACTCGCAAAAGACGCACTTTCCGATCGGGAGAGGCAATCAAAATCAAGCTGCTAAACTACGCACCGATAAATCTGTCACTTTTTATATTGATTGTTTACACCCTAGTAACATTATAGCGTCATTATGTTTCAGGGCAAGTCAGTACGTACCTCGCGACCACACAGGCTATGTACTCCACGACCAATTTAAAAATGCAGTAACTGAACTTACATGTGCTCCTTTATTTTATTAAATATTAGGTTGAATGCCGGTATAGGTAACATAGTAATAGCATTTGAAGACTCACTAAGACGCAGTGCACTCCAAGAAAGTTTATTTTGCCTCTAAAGCGATAGAAATGTCAGCCAAGTCCAAGTGTAAAATTAATGTGGTAAATTTGAACATCCTGTGCGGTACGCGTGCGCGGATGCGGTGAGAGTAACATACCACCATAAAAGAAGCCACTAGATGGCAATAGCCTCGATTCTTTTTAAGTTTTTTGAGGTGTTTCCGGGCATTGTTTTGAAGGATTTTAATTTGCGCGCACGCAAAGTTTGTGTTAAACGTTCATTTTGTATTATGACAACCTCGTAGCCCACTTGCTGAACTATGTGGTGCTTGATAAGGTGGTACCGGGTTCGAGAGAGACGGTATTCCATGGCAGTGGCACAGTTAGGGGCTCATTTTCAAGAACCGGCAAACAATACGTGACTTGTCGAGTAGGATCGCATATGTTATGCATATGTGCTTTACTATTATTATTATTAATTTAGGAGTCCGGGTAGAGCACTGGACTCAATTTTGATGCTCTGGTACTTATAATGTAGGAAATTCTCTAGTCACAGATCAGGTAATTGTCAAATCCGGTAATTTGAAATTACGAAAATACAGGCGCATGGGACTTGTCAACTTATGTTTCAGAGTGACTAGCGCAAGCTAAGTATAATTACTTCCATCCAAAGACTGTCTGGCAGAAATCGCTTATAGCGATAAGACAGCCCTTCGTACCAACGCTTATTTTTTTTATCGAATTGTATGTACTATAATTGGTGTCGATGAAAAAAATTGCACAAGTAAAAGTTTTGCACGTTTTTGTACTTAAGCGCCCAAATTAAGCACTATAGCAATTATTACAGTCGTATTAATAAGTGTATAACCTTTTTTATACGTGTATTATTATCCGTCATTTGGATATTTGGATATTTGGATATTTTAGTAGCAGTAGATTTCCTTGTGAAAGAGTTCGTCCAGGAAAGTACTGCCACCTTGCCTATTGTTTGTCTATGTCTCTTTTAGAGCTGTTGGTAGAAAAAAAATATGACAAGAATATTTCAACGAAACATTGACTTAAAACTACTAAAAGTACAGTTAACACTAATATATGAATTAATACATAAAAAAATATTTTATTGATAATAAAAATCGTTTGTTACTTATTTAAAAAATTTATAACACTTATCGAGTTCTTAGGTTTTCGCGATTGTTACACATACATTTCCTATAATAATACTTACTTATTTCTTATATAAGTATGTATTTATTAATAGAACATTAGCTCAACATAGCTCCATTTTTCTATTTTCTGATTTGATCATTCTAACTAAATATGCTTTCTTTAATTTACAATTATTACAGTCAAGAAACACGTCAAGCTTGACTCTTTGTCTCTAGACCGTTCTTATCATAAGCGGCACAGAGTTGGATTTAAATCTTAAGTGTCAAGCTTGACGTGCTCTTGACCCTGTACAAATTTAAGATAAAGCAACATTCCCGAATTTCAAAATATCGTAAAGGGAAAATGCACTTTCTCTCTCTAAATATTATAATTTACAGTTCTTGGGTCCATAATTCGCTAATAACTTAGTTTAATCCTTCTCCAGCCTATGTAACATTATGGTAAATGCAATAAAGAATTGAGTTTAATGTAAAAACCAACAAAGTGAATGTACTATCGGAACACAGGCAAAACAATAACAAATTCAAAGAAAAAGGCACCAAAAATAATTACATTTAAATTTAGAATTCCAATTTAAAACTAAACTGCTAAAAAGACTGTAAATATATAATTATTTATAAGAAAATTATTGTTATTAGTGTTATATGTTACATTACTATCGTTTCTGATCAAAAATATCAAGTCTTAAAACTTACAGAAGCAATTTATCTCTGAACCGCTCGCTTAATCACTCTTAAAACTTCAAACTGAACTGACACCAGGTCATTGTTCACGTGTTCAGCGCTTCCCACCTGTAGCCAGCCTACAAATGAGAAACCTGTATAATTAGTCCCCCTTATTGTTTGTCTGTATGTCATCGCGACGCAGAACAGTCGCGACCACCGTTCCAGTACCACGCGTACTACTGCGATCGATTACTGTTTACGGATTGGCTAAATTACTAACAGCCACTGTTACGAAAGTTTTAAGTCTTCGAAAATTCGAATTTGAAATTTTAGTAATAACGGAAGTTCTTAAAAAAAATTGAATTTTGAAAAAAAAACTTTGATATGCGAATTTAAACATTGATCGAAGTTTGGAAAAACTTCTACGTTTAATATCGAACTGTAAAATAGTTTTATTTTGGATTTGAGTGTTGTGTCCTAAGGGCGATAGAGCTGAGATGACCCCAGTTGGACTTTTGTTCAAAGTGAACAGGTGAGTTAGCGGAGCTCTGTTAAGTGCTACTGTCAGAGATGGATTAAGAAGTATGTAATCAATACCACAATTACAAATGTAATTTGCTTACCTACAAAATAAAGATGTATTGAATTTTAAACGTTATACAATTAAAAAAAGTGCAATTAAATGGAAAAAGTACAATTTTGACAACTTATAAAGTATATTATAAGCAATGCGTGTTGGTACTGTCTATTGTCTATTTTATTCATTAATATTTGTTAAAGACACCATGAAATTATTCATATTAAAATTATCTTACGACTTATTTCAAATTCTAAAAACAGCAGAAATTTATTGTTTTTTTAAACATAAACAAAGGTACCGTTAATTACCGTTAATATATAAAAATAACACTTGGCTATAAATTCAAAGCCTTCCAAACTGCAGAGCAGTTTACTAGCGAAAACACACTCTCATGTTTAGCAACATACCTATACCTTACCTATTGTAGATATCATACATATATCATATCATATATCAGAATACAACGTTTATTTATCTGGGATTTGGGACAACAATAAAATTTCAGTCTCGTTTTCCTTTTAAATGTTAGTTTAGATAATAATTTTCGTCTACTTTCATATAGGTATACTTTTGGTGGTCATATCAATATTCCTAAGTCCAGCTCTGTCCCCACCATTTATATGCAGTTATGCACATCCATGTATGAAGGAGTACGTCACTCAAAAAGGAATGAATTTAGGTACCTACTCATGCCGCTCGCTCAGTATTTCTATTCAGTCTTTGTTTTCGGATTTAAAATTAGAATTCATTTTTAAATTTTCGAAAAATGCTTTCTATTGAGTGTTTATTATTGGAATTTTAAGAATTAGAATTCTTTTTTAAATATTCAAAAAATCTTTCTTGTTGAGTCTTTGTTTTAAAATTTTTGTTTTTTTAATTTCGAAAAGTATGTTTTTAAATATATAAGTAAAATTTTTTTAATTAAATTTTAATAAATATATAATAATAATAAAATAAATATGTAAATATTTTAATTTTAATTAAATATAAAAAGAAAAGTTGTATTTAGTGCTGAAACGAAAGAAAAAAGAAAATATTTGTTTATATTTTTAATGCATACCTCATTTGAAAGTTTCTTTTAAAATAAATGATAGATGCTTTATTAAACCTAAAGTTAATTAAAATAAACCGTTGTATTTATTTTACGATAGACTTGAAGTGTTTATTTTACATTTTATTTATTAAAAGACATCATCAGGCTGAATGTGTTCATGTCAGTGTTTTTTAATTGATTGTCTCTTTCATAAACAAACCCTCAGGCACGCGTAATTACAAAATACTGTTACGAAAGGTTGTAATTTCTTTGTAATTCACATATCTATCGGTATAATACCCTAGGTAGAAAGTGCTTTTATCACATGAAAGTCATAATTATATGTGAATTTTTATAACTCTGCTATTTAAGAGTCTACCTATACAGCCAGAAATGGCTTTGGTTGGTTCCGCGTAACAGCGGAAGTGTTAAATCTATCACTTTGAAAAAAATGTGTGGTAAAATTGAGGCTATAAACTGATTACTGTATGGTGTGAAAGCACGGTTCCTAAAAATTTTCGCTATAAAAAAAACACAGACTTACCTCGAAATTTTACAAAAAAGACTTCAATATTCAACAGGTACTTTACATTGTACCAATGATTTTGTTTTTAAATATCAACTAAACTAAATAGAACACGTATAGTCAAGTCAAAGATTATTTATTCCATAGGTAAAATAAATTTACACTTGAAAACGTCACATTTAAGCTACTGCTCGTTCACTACGCTGACCTCCCTGAGAAGAACGAGCCAGAAACTCTAGGGATTGCTCTTTTCAAATAAACTTAGATGCTGTGGAATACACTTTGAATCAAATTTGTGTGGATTCTGGAGCCGTGTCGTCTTTCCATACATCTTTATCTAACACGTAGTCTTCAATTTCGTAATATGATTTTTCGATCAAAATATTTTTAATGTAGTTTTTAAACTTAGGAAATGATAAACTTCATATATGCTCCGGAATCTTATTGTAAAAACGTATACAGTTCCCCATAAAAGAGTTGTTTACCTTGGTTAAACGAAATCGTGTTACCATGAGTTTGGATTTAGCTCTAAGGTTAATATTATGGATATCTTCTTTCTTATTGAAATTATGTATATTTTTACGGGCATATAAAATATTTGAGTAAATGTACTGTGATGCCACAGTCATGATACCAGTCTCCTTAAACTTTTCTCTGAGAGAAACGCGAGAGCCTAGACGGTACACAGAACGAATCGCTCGTTTTTGCAATACAAATATGGTTTGAATATCTGCCGCTTTACCCCACATGAGAATCCCGTAGGACATTATACTATGGAAGTTAAAGTAAACTTCGTATTCTGCGGACTGCGTATGCAGCGGAGCTTAATCTGCTGGCCAAGGAAGATATATATATAGTATACGATATATACATTTTTCATATGGCTCTTATTACGTTTGTACAAAAATAAATTCTGAAATAAAGCCAGTGTCCCAACCGCTCAATACAAGCAAAATGACCGTATTATTACGGAAAATATTTTTACATTCGAGCTGAGGAAAGCATAAAAAGTTGTCAACTAAATTCAGTCATTTTGCAGATTTGTAATAAGCTCATGTGTGCGATAGAAAGATATATTGCGACTTACGTAAAGTTTATATTGTGGAAATAACAGTCAGTTTTTGGGTTAGCATGTGAGTTGAACTTTTCTATTATATTTTTAATATCATTTGTTGTCTGTAGACATAATAGTAGAGTGAAGAATCTAATGGTTGTCACTTTAATTCCTATCATTGATACGTTCTATTTTAATTGATGTGTGATCTTGAGAATGCTAATTATTTATTATTTACGATATCAAGTGACGGGACGAACAAGTTTATAACAGGTCCTGTACTCTCGTTCACTGTCTGACAGACAATGTGAAGTACGAAGCGTATTTTAAATTGATCGTGTTATTTGACAGTTAGGGCGCGTGTCCACGCTAAGAAAAGTATCTGGGTCTATCATTGACTTACAAACAAATGGACGACGGGTCTAATACAAAAACCACGAAAAAAATGTCCCAAGTCAACCTATTTAAACGTAGAGACATGTAAAGGAATATGAAAAAGCTAAAACGTTGAATTTAAATTGTAATGTCATCGCAGTACTGTCTAATTTTGCTTGCTTCGCTGTCAGTCGAACAGACGAAGACTAAAGCGTGAATGACGCTCTGTATACGATTTTAACGCCCTATAAGTTCGGACACTTTTTAGCGCGGACCCGACGTCCATATAATTGTAAGTCAATGGGGTCTATGCAAGAATTCGTGTCGTTTCTACACATGAACTGTGTATACTGCCGGACTAGAAAAAATATTGTCTGCCCTCGACATTCTCGCTCTCTGCAGCTATTATGTGGGGTGGGGGGAGGTGCATTGTCGGCAAACGAACGTTTATGCGGGTGTTGCTTAGTGTCAACATAATAAAACAACATATATCTTACCACCGTCGGTAACTAAAACCACAGCTGTACCTGCAAGACTCATAATGCACTGACACATTTTACCCTACACACGTCTATCCGAAAGTATTCGTATCTTGTCATTTTCTCGTGTACAATACCATTCTCATCTTTTCTGTAGTAGACATGTCGAATTTCTTAGCGTGTCCACGCGACCTTATTTTTAACCGACTTAAAAAAGAGGAGGTTCTCGACTTCGACTGTGTTTTTATGCTTATCTATATAAATTATATAAAATTTGCAAATCGATTTTGATGATTCTTTCTTGTTCAAAGGAGGGTATCTCAGACGTGGTCCCATTTAAATTTGAAGAAAATATTCCAATTCTAAGGGTGGCAAACTAGGGGATGAATGACTTTTGGTCGGGTTTTTAGTACTCTGTACTGTTTTGTTTCGGACGCATGTCGGACAGAGGACGAGAGTACAGGGTCAGAACTAAGCCACGCTGATCACGCCACAAGTAGCCGCCATGCTGAATTGTACATAGGGTTTACTATCGTAATGAAAGGACTGACCAATCAACGTAAAGTATTCGCCGATTGTTGCCCAAGGTGCGTCAAGCGTACCTTAGCATAGATTACTCAATATTTACACTATACTTTAAAGGTTTAGGTTGTCGTTTCCGATTTTTCGTGATACATCCATACCGATACCCGATCGTCTTCACCTACATGGAATGGACGTGTCGTCCAACCTGAACTTCGGCAGATACATTGAATTCATGGCCAAAAATGTAGCCAGGAAGGTTGGCATCCTTTCCAAGGTGAGGCGTTACTTCACTCCGGGACAGTTGCAGTTGCCTGTGGATATTCTCAGGTCGAAGCTTTTCGCTTCGACATTTTTATGGCTAGCGGCTAGAGAGTGGAATTCCCTGCGTGCGGACTTGTTCCCTGAACGCCATAACTTGGACCTTTTTAAGGTGAGAGTGAATAGGCGTTATTTAGGTGTGCATGCTTCATCGCAGACCTCATCGTCACTTTCCATCAGGTGAGATGGAGGTCAAATGCGCACTGATTTTTAATAACAAAAAGGAAATTAACTAAGAGTAAACAAATTTCAGATGTCACTTGGTTAACCGGTCAAATACAATATTTAGTAGTGAGTTTCGTACGTCGTACTACTGCTGTACTCTTTCATTTGGTCGCATGTTATTAGCTGCCATCTTTTTAAGGCCTGGATTTTAGGTTGTTATTAAACGTTTTCATTTAAACATTATATTTATATTATATATTTAGTACTATCAAAATATTGCATTTACATTTTCAAAAAGTCCATTATAAACTAAGTGTTGGAACGATCTTCCGCCGCCGGTAAAAATGTGTAAATCGTTATATACTTTCAAGTGTAAGTGCAAGGAATGGCTGCTTAATCTACAGAAGACATCATACTGTTGATCGAAGGCGATGTAGGCTCTGGTACGTCATTGGAAATAATAAAAGTAGGATTATA